TCAAGTAACTGATCCTCGTGGTGATAAATGGCGTCTACACAGCTTCCTAATTAGACAAGTCGGTGTTAGACGGATGTACGCAGTGTGGAATGCTTCGTGAGAGTTGGCTTTGATGCCTAAGCGAATGGTGCGTATTGTCTGAACGTGGTTATTTTTAACTGTGAAGCAAAACATTCGGGGCTACAGGTAAATGAGAGCTTTCACAATCTTGCCAATTTTCTAACCAAGACACCCTGATGCGTAATCGATCAATAATTGATCAACTAGTAGGTTAGCTGATCCACACTTCGTTGGACAGGGTAAGTTTATTCTAGGAGAACGCAGGCATCGCGTTTATCAGACATAATCGATTAACGACACCACACTAAATTCTAATTTGCTGGTGTGTTATTGCAAAGTGGACACTTAGGTTAATCCATTTGTTGCAAATTGATGTGGTTCAATTGCAACCTTGACGCCACCCAATCATTGTTTTGTACAACCTGAAGAGAGGCAATTTGGAATCAAAGTCATAGCTTCATGGGCTACTTTTTAACCCAGGCTTTGAATGGGGTATCCTTGCAAATGCGAACATTTAATTGTGAAACTTGTTCGCATTCCTGACCATTAATTATCACCTCGGCTGTCATTTGTTTGAATTAACATGAGGTGTTCTGAAGTATTAATAAATTTAAACAAAAACATGAATTATCCGTGGTTTTAAACCATCGAACATAAGCGTTACAAGTTTTCCCAATCTGGGTAATAACGTACCTAGCAGATTCACCCCAAGTCACTTCCTCGATTCTGTTTGCTTAAATGAATTAAAAATGCCAATAACTCAGGGCTTTTGCTCGGTACAAGTGGATGCTTAATTTAGAATCGCAGTCATTTAGAGGTTAGGGATCACTCTACATTGTTTTAATTAATGCATTCAAACAAACACAGAGCTGGCGCAAGTTCAAATCAAAGGCCGATATAATATGGAGCAAATATGGATGGAAAGCATCACAGATGTTTGGCAGCGGCGCGGAAACCACACGCGGTCGTTGCCTAGTTGTGCCAAAAGTTGCCTAATCTCATGGAAAAAACTGCTAAAACAGGAGGAAAACTCACGAGTACCGAGGGGAGGAAGGTTTCAGTGATCAAGGTGAATAATTTCTTTACAAAAAGAAGAAGAAGAAGAACACAAAAAACACCGGAATTTTTGGTTGCATTGTTCAGTAACGAAGGTGACCGGAACTGCGCTGCACAAACGTCTCAGCACTCGGCCGTCGGCAATTTTGTACATAGAATGTCAATGTGAACAAGCAGATAATAAGTAGTATACAGCTCAGCACAAAATTTGTGGCCAGTGAGAGAAGAAAGAGGTGCTTATAATCCAAACTAAGTTGCATTCCAGCGTCAGGGGGTGCAAGTTCGGCTTCTCGGTAGGTCTCTGCCAGCGATTTGTAGTCGCCACAGTTGCAAGTTGGCTGGGCATCAAGTTGCTGTCTGAAACGACAATTGTCGGGCCTCTGCGGACACTGCTTCTTCCAAGCCGTCCGATCCGAGGCCAGACTGATTTCGCCCAGTTTGGGACAGGTGTAAAGCAGACTGACGTCACACATGTTCGACTCATTCTGGAAGACTCGAGTCCCCTTGAACTCGCATCCCTCGAACGACAACGACTCCAAGGAGAGGGCTTCCACGACGTTGCGGTCCACCGACACAGCGTGGCCCAGGTTGACCGACAGACGCCGCAACTTCGGCGAGAACTCCGTGAAATCGCCGTCACGCAAGTTGACAAGAGGCACCTCAAGGGTGAGGTAGAATGTTTCTGGTTCTGGAGTTAGCGAGTGTAGCGCGCCGTCTAGAATCCTGGCGAAGTCGCTATCAAGAAAATCCACAGTAGCGTCGGAGACGGCGAGTATCATGTGAAGCAGTCTGCCAGATCTGTGTTCCACACAGGTAGTCCTCACAAGAATGCCGTTTTGTTGAGATTCTGCGTGTCCTGGTCTGCACACGAGGATGCGTCGTTGAGGCGTCGCCTCGGTAGTTTGAACGCTACACGTGAGATTGCAGTCGATATTCACGTATTCCGACTGGGGCTTCGAAACGACACTTCGACGATTCCTGTGAAGACTCTCGGTTGGTCGGCTGCTCCAGGAGATGAGAGTTTCGGTAAAGGTATCCACAAATTCATCCATGGTGATTACATCCGCGTTAACACTGAAATCCTCCGGAGGAAAGGGCAGGAGGGTCATAATAATCAGAACCAAAAAAATCATTAGACCGGCTCCGTGAAGCGGGAATGGACTGCAAAACGTGGGTGTTGGAGTTATCTTGGCTGAGTCATGTGCATGCTGCTAAGGGCGTGCAGTGGTTACGCGCTTGGGTGTTACGCGTGGCGGTGTTTTGTCTAGCCTTCTGCTCCTCTCCTATTGGTTCACGCGGCGTCCAATGAAATGCCGGATTTGTGAAGTATATTTAGGTCGGCCGTGGCCTAGCCCCTCAACATCCAAACACGCATCGACACGGGCTGTAGACGTAGTGTGTGTTTAATAAACCTCTCTTTTTACACAAACCACGTCTCTTTCACACATCAAATGTGCTTCGTGAAGCATTTCCATTCACTGGCCTACATTTTGGAGCAAGTAGAAATGTCAGTTCCGTCATAACCCCTTCCCGATTCCCTCCTGGTTAATTGATCTCTTCATAATGACTATTTCACAGTAATTTTCTGTGGGAGGCAGACGCAGTTAGCTGGGAGAGGCCATGCTAAATTTAAAATCCAAACCAAATGCAAAGCTCGTGATTGGCTTTAAGATTTGAAAAGTCGCAGCATCCATTTTGTTTAGTTTTTAATCTGAAGCAACAATTGGACCAGATATTGAACCGATAAAGTGACTAATTGCTAGTTGAGCAACGATTTCGGTTAGACATTTGTAGTCATGTGATTCTGCTTGAAGTAATCAACACCTGACAACTCAAGACGTGTACTCAGTGTAGAAATACTGTCTAGCAGAAAACAGGAGTAAGACAAACCGCAGATTTGAAGAAGCATGATAGCCAATTACATTTGTTGCTTCGAATCACCAGCTTCATGCTAAGGTCCTTCGAAAACGGGAAGCTTTCGCCTGTGATCCTTGAATCTACGTCTAACTGAGACCATATCGCGCACCCCTGCTCGACTCAACGCATGACAATGATTTCAGAACCCTGGTAGGCAAGATCAGAGCTAATTTTCCTTGGACAGGAGCCAATTGGCCACGTTTTATGAGATGTGGCCCTTGACTCACCCAATGAGGCAGGCAGTTTCCTCCTAATGTAGTATTCCTAGTTGTCCGGGTTTCATGTTAGCTTATGGTTAAAACGTGCAGTTAAATTGGCTTGCGTGTACGGAGCAGCATTCACAACATCGCACAACGTTATTTGTTTAAAAAGACAAGGCTTGTTTTTGCAGCCAACTAAGATGGGAGTTTGGGTTAAACTACGTCAAAATATCCCACCACTGGGCTTTCACTAAATCATAGCTGGTATTTACGCTTTTACAGCATTATTTAGTGTTTTAGCAACTAGCGATCATGTGATTTGTTTTAATTGTTGGTTGCAAAAAAGCCACATTTACCAACAAAATTTAAATTCGCAGGTCTAGCAGACTTACAAAGTGGCTTCATTTTATACCAACTGCCATGAAACTTTTCAAATAATAAACCAGGTAATTTGAAACAAATTTTTACTTGGACCCTGTGGAGCATTTTGGATGGCTCGACTTTTCCAAAAAAATATTTTCATTTCACAGATACTGAGTTGGGTTTTCTAGAATTATACAATTCTCGACTTTGTGCCTTCACTCGTCCTTATGCACACCATTTTTGAATTCATATTGGGCGCTCCCTTCCTATTCGTCAATTGCCATTTGAGTGCACGAGCACTCAGAACCGCCGGCGCCATATACGAGTGGGTGCAGTTGATCGTGCACTTTGGCCTTGGCCGAGACATTGAAGAACTACCTGTCCCAGTTTGGGGAGACGATGACTCATTCGTGTTTTATCCCCGTACTCGTTTGGGTGCTAGACAGACTCCGATTACCTGCTATCGGGGTTTCGTGTCTGCGTCCAGGGGAACGGCAACGGAAGTATTAATAGTGGGATACCTGAACCAACCTAGTAAATCAGCAACAAAACCAGACACATCGTTAGGCCTGTCTATTTACCTCAGAACGAGAAAATATTTGTGAAATGTTAATAGCCCCAATAAACGACCAATTTGTAACACGGATTCCATGGGGGGTAATCTTGCACCATTAGCTCATTTTATGGTCTGCAGAAAAAAAAAGATTAGCCCGCCAAACTCGGTACTAGCGTCTCAGGGTCGATTTAATTAATTGAAACAAAATTTCAGTGTTACCTACATGCGGATTCATTGCATTATATTCGCTCAATTGTGTCTGACATCGTCGGAACGCGATCCCTTGTAATCTAGGGCATTAGGTAACGTGTCTATAATCACATGAAAGAGAATGCAGCGATTGGGTAATTTTGGTTATTGGCTGGAATTGATACTTAGCGCTGATTGGCTGGTATACGGAGGCCAGATATGTGCCCTTGTTCATTATGGACACAAGCAGTTAGTGTCAGATAGTTCAGACAGTCCATTAAGGCTATATGCTACTCAATAAACCCTTACCGATGTAACACTTTTTTATGACCTAGAATATTTAACAATCCCGCATTTTAAACGATTCAAACAACCCAATAATTTTTTTAATCATCAATAATACGATAACCTACGGGTTTAAGAGCTGCACCGCGCCTTCGAAGCACCATTTTTGGAAAAAACCATCTGAAGTATTTCTAAAATGCTGATCTACAAAATCTGAAGCATGGGATTATTTAATCACTCATGAAAACGGTGTAATTTAAAAAATTTCTTCCCGATTTGAAATCAAAGTAAACACTACACGAGGGGTAGCGATAGATAATCGATAACACACTCCCCATCACATCCTATGAGTGCCTCCCAACGCTTAAAAACCTTTTATTTTCGTCCTTTGATGAACTCCACCGAATCAATTTTTATTTTAAATGGCGAAGCATTTGGGAAAAAGCAAAGTCAGTGGTATACGGGGGGTGTCAGTTGAGGATTTGGCATTTTCACTTCTTCATTTATCTATTGAATGACGTTTTTATCATGAAAGACTTTGATTTCAGCATGCTGTTGGGTTATTGCCTCATAAAACTCCTTCGCTGTTGCTGGAGGACACTCGGACGTCCAGTCTCCACCCTGGACGTCTGTTTGATAGCACAATGAACAAGAAAAACATTTGTTTTTGGGAAAGTTTTGTGTGGTTGTTGATACGGATAAACTGTGTGCCCTGGGATTGGCCGAACGCGGCTAAGCTTTCATTGGTTAATTAATTTCGAGTCAGACATTTGTCCGACTGGCTTACAAGTGTAGATTGCCAAAGAGAGATAGCAGAAAATGACTTACGTCGGTCTGATTCAAGTCCAAAACAACGTCCTTCTGAAGCCTACACCATATTTTAATAAAACTTGCATAAAATTAGTAAGACAGAAGTTAGGAAAGGGGCATCGACAGGTACCTCGATCAGTGATCGTGTCCAACACAGTAATATACATCGCGGTTCTTTGTTGCTCGTGGGGGCTGTACATTGGGAGAATGTTGACACGAAAACACACGCTCTGACCTTGCACATTGGTGTCCACGTCTTCGTAACCAGATTCCAACTGGACTGAATCGTCGCGTGATGATCGACGGGCACTGTCGATCCTCTTCAACGATCGTCGCCAAGCAGTAGCCATCCTCGTTGGTAATATTGATCCGAATTCCCGCCAGTACCCTTTCCCTGTAACCGCTGGCGTAGAACTTAATGACGTGCGGCAGCCGCTCAGGTCGAAGAAGTGGTGGTTTGGGGGGCGCGCAATTCCGTTCCAGACGCGCAATGAAGGCGGCGCTTCGACTCAACGAACTAAGCCGACTGATGGTTCGCTTGTACCGACGTTTGTCGCTACTGCAGTTGGTTAAAATGAGGTCACAGATTAGGGTTGCAGTGCCGACGACTGCTAGGCACGAGCCCACCTTCATGCTGAATTCAAGCAGGCTGAATTTCCTGCCCTTCCCAGTGACGGTGATGAGAAACTGGATCCCGTTGACCTTATGAAGCAGACGTCTGTGCTGTGAAGATCCGAAGTAGGTGGCGAATTCCAGGTTGAATTTCTCGTTCATGTGGACCATTTTTCTCATTGTCGAGTCAAATTTCGTGAGTGCGCCTAGGTAGCGAAATGAATAAGTCGGCATACACTTGTCTAAGGCCTTATCTAGATCGCAGTCCCAGTTAATATTGATGTCAATGATACCGCCCTGGTTCAGAATGTAAAACATGTCAGCACCTGACTGAACAATGATGTCCTTAATTAGAAACGTAGGACAATGCTGATCCTTTTTGTCTGATATATTGAAACGACACTTCTCTAGATAATCATTGTCCATCCAGGTCAGCATGTTGTTCCTCTTAACCTTGTTAAACGGAAACTCTATGCTGTTTCGTATTAAAACTGTGAAGTTAAGAACATCATACAGTGGAGTGACTTCAACCGGGCCAGGAAAATCCCTTTTCATGGTCATTTTCCTATCTTCGATGAAGCTGGTGTCCAAAAAATCGGTTGAGGCCAAATTGTGGGTCTCTGAGGCGCGGGTGAACAGGGGGGTGGTGTGCCAAGCTGGATCGCGAAAATCAGTGTCTTCAAGAATCGGACACCAAGCGAAAACCTCGCATGTCCTGGTGTTGGAGAGGCAGCGTCCAGTGAAAGGCCCGTGTCCGTAGCTTTCAAAGTCGAACCAGCTGGTGTTGGTGAGGTGGGCGTATTCCTGGGGCACGTAAGCACCGGCAGTTCCACCGCGAGGGCACGACGCGTCACTGCGACAACGAGCGTCCAGGAGGTCTGAGGCCTCTGGACACGTGTACTGCAGCTGATCCACGCTGCTGAACACCCGAGTAACCAGGAAGAAGCCCGAGTTCTGAATAGGTGGATAAACTAAATCAGCATCCGTGTACACAACATGCCCCCTTGCCAGATAGCCAGTGGGGTGGTCTGCACTGCTGAGCAAAGTTCCACGCACCTTGGCTGAAACCCCGTGAATAGGGTTCTCAAAGGCCTGATAGCCCTTCTCCTTTATCATGACCCATCCAATGAAATACCCCACAATAGATAGCTGCAAAAATCGATAAAGGAGCCCCACTAGAGAGCCCTTGATGCGAATCACCTTCGGCATCTCGTAGATGGTGAAAAACTCCAGGGTGTGGTTGCAGCAGAAGCGCCTAACTGAAACCCTCTTCCGACCGAACAGCCTGGCAGCTCGTGCCTTTGGCCTGCCCATGCAACGTGCTCTGAGTCGTTATGCACGATGTGTTTGTGAGTGTGTGACAGAGCGAATTGCCATCATTTCGCACGACGGCAAACGCCCATTTATAGGCTCATCGGTGTGAACAACGTTGCTATTGGCTCGCTGAGACACTGAGTAGTCTCGCGTACACCTTGTGTCCCCATGCGGTGATTGCGAATTGTTCTAATTTTTGTAGATCATATCAGGATGCACTTTGGAGCGTGATCACGTTGCCTCAACTGATAGGCGCGGGTCTAAATAACCTTGAAATAATATTGTTTAATTTAAACTCTGCGGAGTTATAATTCAATGTAAAAATGTAAAAATTCACACTATAGTCATGCTTTGTTGAATGCGTTTCAGAATGCAAAAAAACAAAAAGCATTTGAAAGGTTGCCATTTAGCGCTGTCGATTTCAAAATGGCGGCTTCAAATTAAACAAATCGTCTCGATCTGATAACGACACTATCTTTAATTTGATTGACAGCGATTCAAGAAGTACCATCTGGAAAATGACTGAGAGGCGACATGTTAAGAATTCAGCAGTATTTTGTCATTTTAAGCAACGTTAGTCTATCTTCCAACTCGATTTATGTGTTGCCAACGTTTCGACAGAACGGAACATTGCCAACCAAGACAAACTTTTAAAGATCCTCTTACGAGTTGTGAGGAAAAATAGTTGGCATTTTCAATCGTTTTCGAAATTC